GAGAGAGAGAGAGAGAGAGAGAGAGAGAGAGAGAGAGAGAGGAGAGAGAAAGAGAGAAGAGAAAGTACTCTCTGGGGTGTGTGTGTGGGATTGTCCACCCAACAATGCATTCTCCTCTTGGGATTTTGGATATATGCACTAGGCATATTTTTCAATCCTTTGGTTCCAGAGCTTGAATTGTTCAGTCAGCCATGTAGGATCCAGTCACCTTAACCACCACATCAACTAGCTAGCTGCCTGATGTCATATTATGTTCTTGATGACATTTTCTATTCTTGAAAAGTGTGAAGCGAGTGAATGTTAAGCGCACAAACCAAGCAAATTTTAACTATGTGAGGAAATGCATTTGTTATTTATGCAATTTTAACCATTTTACTACTTAAATACTTGTAAACATTATGATGTACATGATAAAAAAACATACAATGTATTCTGTAGCTTTAAACATTTTTTTTAAAAGAAAAGAATGACTTAAAGACTTGTAGAGAAACAAATACAACTTTTAAACACATAGTCATAGGACATTTGAAAATATTGGATTGAGACCAGCAGATGGCATAATGGTTGTAGGGCTGGACTCCCATGTAGTTGACCATAGTTCTAGTCCCAGACCTGGTAGCCTAAAACTCACGCCAGGTACATGTGCATGCATGCTCAAAATCCTGAGAGGAGATGGAGGAGAAAGGATTGTGGCAGGGCCACCCCCAGAGGGGTGATTTCTAGCTTTCTGTCTCTCCAGTGAGTACATGTGCCCTATTGCAAAATTCTCTCTCTAAAGAAAGAAAATTTTAAAAAAAGGAAAAAGAAAAAAAAAAGAAAATATTGGGTTGTTGAAAAAATCATGAGGTATTCTGTTTTTCCATGCAAAAATGCACCATGACTTTTCTGATGACTTAACAGAAATGTGAAGCATGTCTGCTAGGGAAAAAGAAGAGCCAGAATATTTAAGTTCAACGTTCGCCTTGGGGGCCCACTACATTCATTTAATTTTGAGCAGGTCAAGAACTGTTCTGCCGAGGAGTCTCTCCAGGGCCCCCTTCACATCCTTGTTCCTCAATGTGTAGATGAAGGGGTTCAGCATGGGGGTGACCACTGTATACATCACTGAAGCGATCGAACTTCTTTGAGAAGGTGTCACAGAGGAACTGAGGTAGACCCCAAGTACTGTCCCATAGAACAAGGAGACCACAGAGAGGTGAGACCCACAGGTAGAAAAGGCTTTACACTTACTTTCTGTGGAGGACATCTTCATTAAGGAGGAGATAATCTGAGAATAAGAGTAAAGGATCCCAATGACAGGAAACACCCCCAGCAGGCCAGTTGTCACATACAAAAAAATGTTATTGAGGATGGTATCAGATCTAGCCACCTTGAGAATCTCAGGAAGGTCACAGAAGAAATGTGGAATCTCAGTCCCTGCAGAGAAGATCAGCCGTGTTATCAGTAGAATGTGAAGCAGAGCATCCCAGAAAATGATGAACCAAGACATCAGAACCAGGAGGACACACAGACGGGGGTTCATGATGACTGTGTAGTGCAGGGGGTGACAGATGGCCACAAACCTGTCATAGGCCATCATGGTCAGTAGCAAATTATCCAGCCCAGCAAAAATTATAAAAAAATACATCTGAGTGAGGCACCCTCTATAAGAGATATCTCTGCTGTGTGTCTGGATGTTCACCAGCATCTTGGGGACAGTGGTAGAGACAAAACAGATGTCTACGAAGGACAGGGTGGAGAGGAAGAAGGACATGGGACTGTGCAGGTGGGAGTCAGAGCTGACGGTCAGGATAATGAGCAGGTTCCCAAACACGGTGACCAGGTACATGGACAGGAACAGCCCAAAGAGGACGGGCTGCAGTTCTGGATCCTCTGAGAGGCCCATAAGGAGAAATTCTGAAACTTCTGTGTGATTTTTTCCTTCCATGTAGTAAGCGTTTCTGTTGGAGAATGAGACAAAGCAATGTTCAATGAAGATCAACAGGTATCGGAGTTGGTTCTCATTTTACAGTCTCCTCATTGAGTGGACATCCTTCAGCTCTTATTGAATTTTGCCAGTGACAGCGATTCACTCAGCCATGATGTATTTATTTCTATTTTATTATTTATTTATTATTTTTAGAGAGAGATTTTTGCTATTGGGCTTCTGTGCTCTCTGGAGAGACAGAAAGCAAGAAATCATTCCCCAGGGGGGGATGGCCATGCTACAATCCCTTCTCCATTGTCTCAGAATCTAGGGCGTGCACACACATGCACCTGGTGTGAGTTCTAAAACACTGGGTCTGGGACTCAAACTGCGGTTGATTACATGGGAGTCCAGTGATATAACCATTGCACCATCTGCTGGTCCCTAAACTCTTCCTTTTATAAAATTTACTTTGGATGTAATATTCTTCCAAATATAGTATACGTCTGTGATGAAAAAAATGGCTTCTTAGGACCAGCAGGTGGTGTGGTGGGTAAGGGACTGGATCCCACTCACCTGGCTAACCACATTTTGAATTCCTGATCCAGTAGCTTAAAAATCACGCCAAGTGCATGTGTGCACATTCCCAGAATCTCAAGAGGAGAGTGGAGAAGAAGGGATTGTAGCATGGCCATCTCCCACCCAGGGGGTGATTTCTCACTTTCCTTTTCTCTGACTCTCTAGTGGATGCACACACCTTATAGCAAAATCCCCCACCCCCCAAAAAAAAAAGAATAAAATAAAAAATGGCTTCTTGACGCTGTGGCAAAATCTCCCCCCCCAAAAAAAATGAATAAAATAAAAAATGGCTTCTTGACGCTGTGGCTCAACAGAACAGCAGTTAAGGACTACGCTAAAGGAACTGGATCCTACCTAGCTTACTACAGTTCAAATATGGCGCCAGTGGCTTGAAAAACCTGCTGGGCCCATGGGCACATGTGCCTGAATTCCTGATTGGGAGGAGAAATGGAGGAAAATGGCTCACAGTGTTAGAACCAGGGTAACACAGAGATGTTATGATGACCATGTAGTACAGGGGGTGGCAGATAGCCACCGACTGGCCATAGACTATCATTTGGGGATTCTCTCTCTTGCATTCTCTCTGTCACACATGCACACTTTGGCGGGAAAAAAAAAAAAAAAAAAGCACTACGACCGTAATGAAGAAAATGGTCCCAGCTCTGTGGCCTGGTGGTTAAGGTAACCAAACCCCACATGTTGATCCCATGGTTCAAGTCCTGGACCAAGCAGCTTGAGAAACATGCTGGTCATGTGTGTATGGGTACCCAAAATCCTGAATGAAGGAGAGAGATGGAGGAGAAGGGATTGTGGCAGAACCATTCTTCATGAAGTGTTTTCTCCTTTCCCCCTGTCTCTGGTGAGGATGCATGACCTCCAGCAAAAACAAACAAAAAACGAACCCAAACTACCCCCATCCCCACCCCCAATGGCTTCTTGAGTTGAGTTCCAGAAGTAGAATTTTGGTCCACTTACTATCCTGTGAACTTGCAAGAGTTATTGAGATACTGAAATTCTCCTAGCTGCAAATACTTTACCTCTACAGTAGGAATAGTATATGTTTCCTCCATATTAGAAATGAAGAGTAAAATGAAATGAAATGATGCATGTAATGTTTTATTTTGTTGCCTTTGACACACAATGTGCATGTCATAAATTTGAATTTCTGTTCTTAACATGACAATAAATCTGTCTCATGTGGCTATTACTTAGCAAGATTCCCCCTTAAAGGAGGGCAAATTGATGGCAAAAACAAAGATTTAGAACCACTGAGAACAACTGTGGATACAAGAAACAATGTGGTAGGAGGGTGGGAAATGAGAGGTGAATGGGAGAGAGGGAATTAAGGGAAAAAAAGCAAAACATTTAAGGGACACCAAAATGGAAAATTATCTGTTGATGATAATGTTTATGGTAATATCTTTGACTGGACTAACATACAGTGTATTTGTGCCAGGAAAATTCATTTTGTATGCTGCAAAGCTATACAGGTGATGGAATGTAAAAAGAAAATAAGAAAATACAAGAAGTAAAAATAAATAAAACTTTTAATAAAAATAAAGAGCACCTAAAACAAAAACAAACACATAGGGCAACCACCAAGAATGGAATTCTGACACTTCTGAATTCAACAGATCTGTTACCTCTTTGACTTCCATACAGCACTTCTGGTTAATAAATATCCCTAGGGCTCCTTCTTTCAGTGACTGTCTGCCAGGCGAATTCTTCCAAGAAGAGACAACACATGTGGAACTGAATAATCAAGAGGAGAAAACAAAAGGACACACACATTAACATTGTGTGAAAGTTGTGCTCGTGTTTGCCTGATCTTCTGCAGGAAAATACTAGAGGTAAACCAGAATTCATCACGAAAAAAAAAATGATGATGAGTTTGATTTAGAACATTCAAATCTTATAAAAATCAAATCATCTTGGGACCAGCAGGTGGCATGATGGTTAAGGGTGTTGGATTAACACATGGCAAGCCACAGTTCGAGTTCTGGACCTGAACCTGGAGGCTTGCTTTCTCACTTTCACCCTCTCTCTCTATGGTGAGCAAATTTAAAATAAATAAATAAATAAATAGATAAATAATAGCAAGAAAAAGAGAGAATAAAATAAATAATTCTAAAAAAAAATCATCTCTGAAATACTAAAAGAACATAGGGCTAGCAGATGGTATGGAGGTTAAGACAAGGCTGCACATTGAGTCCTGAACTCAACAGCTTGAGAGACACACTAGGGTGCATGGGCCAACATGCGCAAGATCCTGAGAGGAGAACGGAGGAGAAGGGACTGCAGTGTGGTCATCCCCCACAAGGTGCTTTCTCACTTTCTTTCCTTCTCTCTGTCTCTGGTGAGCACATATGCCCTATAGATAATAATAATAATAATAATAATAATAATAATAATACTTGAAAATGCTTACATTCTCCATGAGAGAAAAATGTGCCTCCATCACTAATGCCTAATAAATGAAAATGTAATTAAGACAAAAAGAAATTGCTAATGACAAGTAAGTCTGTGTATGTGGTCAGACGACAGAAAATTGCCCTGAAAACGAAATATCAGAAATAACTATATATTTGTATTATATTATGGACATTAGTGCAAAACAACAATAATTTAGAACTATTTAGTGATATCAGTATGTCAAAGCTGTAAAAAGAAAGAGGATAGTTTAAGTAGAAAAATCTAATAATGATAGGAACAAAAGAGGCAATACTCATGCATAATCGCTTTTTAGTAAGAAGCAATTGGTAAAAAGGATTGGACGCAGGAAATGAAACAAGAAATTCCAAATTATGGGAGAGAGTAGTAGAGATGTGAACACTTTCCAGATAATAATATGTTTATGGTTTGGACATTTCTAACTATTTTTAGACAGAGGGTCTAGATTTCAGAAAAAAAGGAAAAGAAACAGAACAAGAGAAGGGAAAATTTTTTTCAGTAGAAACTGAAGTACTTTCAAAGGACAGGGACTTCACCTTCATAGATGAAATAAATATGGGATTTCCAAGTCTCATTACTGTATAGGTAAGACCCATTATTGGTATTTTCTCCTTAACTTCTTACCCAACCAGCCTTCAGAGGATCACAATGACTCTGATGCTTATCATGGAAAATTTCTGTTCCCCATAATTCATTCCTAGGAAACCCGGTGGGGCTTTTAACTAGGCTAGAATCAGAGAATTAAATATAAGAAAATAACAGGAGCATGTGTAAAGTTTTCAGAGACTCGGTGGTTTAATTCCCGGAGCTATTCATTAAATATATTGTTCTATTGTCTTTCCTTTCTCCAAACAATTTAGCTCCCTTGGGATACAAAGAAGATGGCAGAAAGGGAGTTATTCAGTCAATTTTGTGTCCACATTGGCAGTCATAGGGAGGGATAAATTTGATTTTCTCCAAGGAGGATCTCTTTAATCTTAGGTTCAATTTCAAAGTTTCAAGGGGTTCCCTAAGGAACTAGGTCATAAAATCAGACAGGCCTAGCCCCAATTCATGGCGGAAATGGTACATCTGAGATTGAATCCGAATAGGACCAGAGACATGAATGAGTTGCATGATCGGGCAACCCAGAATGGAGCAGGCAGGCCAGATCTCAGTGTTAGTCACCATTGTTACACCAGTGCACTCACTCAACTGCACATATGGCCTATACTGAGGCCACCTGAAAGAGGAAGAGTGGCTAAATCTGGTTTATATTGGGTTGTTGGAAAAGTCATGGTGCTTTTTTACATAGAGAAGACAGAAAAATATGTCATGACTTTGCTGACAACCTAATAGATATGTTGGTTTGGCATGCAGGTGCCAAGTAACCATGGAGAGAACTTCATTATAGAAAGTTTAGGGGTTGGGACCAGCAGATGGCATAGCATGGACTCCACATGGCTGGCCATGGTTTGATTCCCTGGACCTGGTGGCTTGAAAATCATGCCAGGGGACTGGCAGGTGATGTGATGGTTAAGGGTGACTGACCAAGGTTTGAGTCTTGGACCTGGCAGCTTGCTTTCTCACTTTTCCTCTCTCTCTCTCTCTCTCACTTTGTCTCTCAGTGGCCAAATTAAAATAAATAAGCAAACAAAGTAAAATAAAATAATTCTTAAAAAAAGAAAATAAGAAAACCATGCCAGGCTTATGCACATGCATGCCCAAGATTCCAGGAGGAGAATGGAAGAGAAGGGATTGGGGGGTGACTTTTCACATTCCCTTTCTCTGTCTCTTTCTCTCTCTCTCTCCAGTAAGTGCATGTGCCCTAAGGCAAAGACTTCTAAAAAAAAAAAAAACAAACAAAGAGGTTTATGGGTAACCATGAAAAGAAGAGCTCAGGAAACATTGTTATGTGGGTGAAACTGAAAGTAGCAAATATGGTCATTCAGTTTGTGTGGAAGATGTTTAAGCTGGCGTGACCATCTGGTCATGGGCCTTGAAGGGGAAAGACTAGAATACTGGAGATAGGCGTATGGTTGGACAAAGAAGGGTGGGCATGACATACACAATTTTCTGTCTCATAAGTCATGGAAGAGGTATTGAAAAACCAGGTGACCCCTCCTGGCCGTGTAACGTGACACAGTCAAGTCATTGAGCACACGATGGTATCACAGGTGCCTGATATATATATATATATATATTTCCCCTTTCATCATTAATGCAGTGCATTGTAGGGAGCGGCTGAACCTGAGCTAAACAACAGTGACCTTTAAAGATGAATGAAGGCACAGACCGGCTCTCTTGGACCGATGCTGCATGGCCGGCAGAGGTCAGAGGAAACACTTTCATCCAGAGAAGGCCAGGGAAGGCTTGTTTAGAAAAAGCAAGAATGCAAGATGCACAATGCTCCACAGCTGCAGTCGATCATAGAAAACACCTAGCTTTACCTTCTGCTTCTCCTTCCCCTGTTGTCCTATAAAAAAAGGAACCTGGGAATGGCGTGGGGCTGCAGCTGTCTTCATTGGAGATGCAGGTGCCTGATCCCCACTTTTCTCTACCTGTGTGTCTATTTCTTCCAAATTCACTGTCGTACCCACTTGGGGTCCCATCTTCCCACTGTGCAGGTCACGGCAGTGCAGGTCAATCAAGTCAAAGATATTACCATACACATTATCATCAACAGGTAACTTTTCACTCATGAGTCTGTTAATTTTTTTTTTTTTCTGATCCTCTCCCACTCCCTGTTACCCACCACCTCCTATACTGCCTATTGTATCTGTAAATGCCCTCATGGCTGTTGTACTTTTCCATCTTTAGTTTCTGGCATAGACTACAGACACTTTGCATATGTTGAACGGGGACATACAATGTCTCTTTTCATATTCTGGCTTGCTTCAGTTGGTATTAAATCTTTTTAACTCAATAAAGAACTGTTACTGGGGCCAGAAGATGGCATAATGGTTATGTTGCTGGACTCCCACATCGTCAACTGTGGTTCAAGTCACGGACCCAGTAGCTTAAAACTCAGGTCAGGCATGTGTGCGTGCATGCCCAAAATCCTAAGAGGAGAATGGAGGAAAAGGGATTGCAGCATGGCCATCCTCCCTGGGCAGGGGGTGATTTCTCACTTTCTGTCTCTCTCTGTCTCCCCAG